TAATAACATTAAAAATTAAAATTAAATCAAATCAAAATAATCAAAACAAGAAATGAAAATAAGAATAAAATGAAAATAAATAAAATAGAAAAATAAGAAATAAAGAAATAATAAGAATAAAGAATAATAATAAGAAAGAAAAGAAATATAAATAATATTAATAATAAATTAAAATAAAATAAGAAATGAAAAATATAATAATAATAAATAATAAAAATATGAAAGAATAAAGATAATAATAATATAAAATGATGATATTAAAGAAATTATTAAAATATAAAATAAAGATAAAAGAAAACAATAAAATATAAAATAAATTCATTTTAATATAAATCATTTAAATAATTAAACAATAAAATTATTTTATAATAATGAAATATTTCATAAATATAATAAGAAAGAACAAATAAAAGAACAGAGAAAAATAAATAAAAGAATAATAAATAATAAATTAAAATAATCAATATACTAAAAAGAAAAAAAGAGAAAAAATTATATATATAAATAAAAATCATAAAAATAAAAATGAATAAAATAAATTGCATAAATAAAATAATGTTAAATAATTTGCATCAATAAATTAAACGCTTTTTTATTTCATATTTCTAATTTCTGTAATAAAAAAAAAATGCATCCTTTATTTCATCATTATTTTCATCTTTTATTATCTCATTTTGAATTATTCTTTTTTATCTTCTTTCTTTTTATATTCTCAACATTCTACTTTTATTCTTTTCATCTTCTTCTATTTCTTAATTTCAATTTTTTCTTTTATATCATTCTTTCTCTTCATTTTTCTCTTATTTCCTTTTTTTTCGTTGCCCTTAATTAAATACTTTTTCTCTTGTTTGTTTGTTTTTTATTTAAATATTTTGTTATTTGATTATTAAATTCTTTCTTCTTCTTCTTTTCTTTCAATATTATATTGTATTATTATTGTATTATTTTGATGTGTTTGTTATTATTTTGTGATTTTCATTAGATTTATATTGTTTAAATATTGAATAATTAATAAATTGTAGATAAATGAATTAAAGATATCATGAATGTGAAAATGAAATATTTGTCATTTCATTTATTTCATTGTTATAAATGATGAATAGTCATTAATTTCGATATTATAATGATTTAATTGAATATTTATGAATTTTACATATTGTTCATTATATTTATATTCATTAGATATTACATTTGATAATGGTGTTAAATTATATCATTTTATATTTTCATTAATTGATATCATATTAAATATTATTCTTATTCATCGATCTTTTATTAAAATAAAATATAGAATATAGTTAAGAGAATATTCAGATTGTTTTCAATAAATGGATACAATTGTTAGTGATGATTGATCTGAATATTTATTATTTCTTGTTTCTTTTTTGTTTCTTTTTGAATCGAATATTTGATTCTTAGTTTATCAAAAATGAACTTTAATTCTAATTGAAATGAATTCACAGTATCTAAATCAAGTCTATCAATTAGAGCACTATTATGTTTGTTTATGAATGATGTACTATGTGAGTTAATGTCATAAAGTAGGATATAAAGAAGGAGTATTTAATAAAGAAGAACCAACTGAAATACTTAAGAAAAAAGAAAGATATTTATAAACGAAAAGTCCACAGTGGAATACTTCTTTTTAAATTAAATCTAATTGAGAAATACGAAGAAGAGGAGTTAAAAAAGATAAGGAAAGAGTACCAAAGAGAGTGGAGAATTAAACACACTCATTTTATGTTTCTTTCATTGTTATTATAAATTCATTTCATAATTAATTATTTGTTATTAAAAACAAAATTATAAAAATAAAAAAACAATTTTTTAAGAGAAATCAAATAACATTAACTCTCCAGAAGAACATCCACAAAATAAATATCTATCATCATAAGTAAATGAAGAAACAATAGAATGTGTATTTATGGTATTAATTAGATTAAAATTTTGAGAATCAATTAAAGATAAAGTCATATCTTTAGAAGAAGAAATAATTTTATCATTTTCATGTTTAATAAAAATTACTTCACCTGTATGATTTTGTAATATTTTTAAAGGAATTTCAGGTTTTCTATAATCCCATACCATTATATTTTTATCATTAGAACAAGTTATTATTTTATCTTCAATAAAATCAAAATGATTTACACCTGCATGATGACCTTTTAATCTAATTGCTGTTTGTTCTAGATTTCTTATATCCCAAAATTCTACAGTTTTATCAAATGAAGATGATACTCCAAGTTGAGAATTAAATAATTTAGAATATGTAATTGGTCTTTTATGTTGACGATATTCACCTATTATTTCTAATTTATTTGGGTCTAATAATGTTACAGTTCTTTCATATCCAAGAACTAATTGTTCATTAAAAGTAAATCCATTAACTTGAAATCCAGTAACAACTTCATTTGCAATTCCTGAGACAATGTTTATATCTTTAATAACTCCATTTTTATATCCAATTCTAATATTATCATTATTTAATGTTAATCCTACAATTCCACAATTTTGTCCACTGAATACTTTTTCATTAATTAATGTTTTCTCATTAATTTTCCATACTTTTACTTTTTTATCACTTGATCCTGTTACTAATATTCCTTTCTTTTCTTCTATTTCAATACATTTAATTAAACTCATATGTCCTTCAATTGTATTTTGTGTGTATTGTATTTGTCTCCAATGTTTTCTCATTGTAGCACATTTTCTGAATATTTCTGCTGCTTTTTTATTACTTTGAAAGAGATTAATAGATGGTTTAATTTCTTTAATTTTGTCTTCCCAATACTTTTCACCTTCTATTCCAAAGATAATCCCATGTAATTGTCTACAACTTCTTCCTAATGACACTGCATCTTTTGCATCAAGTGTTCTCAGTATTTCTCTTATTATTGATCCAGGTAATTGTAAAAGTGGAACATTGTTTTGAAGTGTTTCTTCTCTTCGTTCTCTAATTGGTAGAAATGATGCTGGTGCTCTAAAGTATGGTTCTGTTGTATCTTCACAAAATACTGGAAGATCCAATAAAATATTTGCAGAAATAGTAGATAACAATTCACTCACATCTAGAAGTATTGATGAGTTTAATGAGTCCATTCTTTTCTGTGATTCTTTTTATCTTAGAAATAAGAGTTCTTCGTTATAATTTTCTTTATTAAGTCACATTGAACTATGACAAAATTCATATTTACATACCATTTTGTGTTATTAAATTTGAGTAAATTTCTAAATCATTCAGAATTAATACTTGAACTACTCAGTTATAAAATAAATGAATAGAATGACTAAATAGTTATGTGTTGTATTATCTACAATTTTAATTCTTTTATTTTCATAATAAATAACAGAGTTTTGATGTGTGATTTTTACTTTGTTTATTTTAACAATAATTCCACATTTCAATATTGTTGAGATAATAATAATGTCCATATCCCATGAAGATTTCTCATAATATAAATCTATGCCATTGACGATAATTAGAATTATTTTATATTTGTAAAGAAAGAGTACAAGTAATTAATGATTTTCTTGGTAAAGAATATGAACAAACAATGAATAATGGAATTGTTGAATTTTGTATGAATATGTTTCTTTTTAAAACAACTACAAACAACACAACTTATTCAATTGTACCATTAGTTTTATAACACAATGAGTTAATACTTAGATAAATACTCTTGATAATGATTTAGAGAGAATGTACTTATTCATCCAAGTTATTTGGTTATACTCACAAAATATGATATGGATTTAATACTATGTTCATTCTAATGACATTATTTTAAATAAACTGTGATATTCTTCTTAGTTAAAATGTTTTACTCACATGAAAGAATTGTGACATGAATTGATTCAAAAAGAATAGTTTATCAGAACTGTTTATGTTTGTTTTTAAATTACTAAATATCTTGTTGGTTATTAATCAAATGATGGTTCAAATCTCTCAACATATTTGTGAGATACGTGTATATAAAAGAATGTATTTCATGTTGTATCAACAATATGTTTTATCAATACTTAAATGAGATGTTTTAGTCTCAACTTAATGTTTCTGTTATCTTTTGTTATGAAGTGAAGAATAAAGATACTAAGATAAAGTATTTCACAAAGCAGAGTTATATTAATTGTATTGTGATTTGTTCTACAAAATAAAGAACATTGATAATGATTGAGTATTTAATTATCGATTGTTTGAATGAGATTTATTTCATCACTTTGTAAACTTTGTTATTCATTATAACACATTCATTTTGTATGAATATTTATTCTTACATCAAACAAAACAGTGACAAACACATTAACAATGTTCATGTTTATTCTGTATTGATGACAGATTCTTTATTAACTCATTCCCTATTTCTTATTATGACTCATCCTCTATCATGAAATACAATTAACAATTATTGGTTCTTCTATTATTATTAATCTCTCTTATTTGTTGAAGGTTTCTTTTATTATACAAGTGTCTTTCAATGGTCAGATAGTTATGACAATCAAATTACACCACTTTGATTTCTTTGTTTGTGTGGGTTTGTTTGATTTTAACTGTTGTTTTGTTAATTGTGATTAATCCTCAAGACAAAAACACAAGAAGAGACATTGATGTGTTTAATGAATCTAAAGAAGATTTGAACAATGGAAGTGAAATGAATGTTCATAAACACTCCAAACATAGCTAATTCACCACAAAATGAAAGAATCCCTATTGACATCTTTATCTATCACACACCAGACAATTATAGTAATATCCCAATGACAAGAATCGCACATACAGCAAACTGTCATGTTATTGAAGGATCCACGTTGCATTTAACTCAAAAATAGACACACAAACCATTGTAATAACATGAATTAGAAACAAACTTGGTATGAAGAGAATCTATAAATGTATATTGCGTGTAAACACGTGGCAAGAGTTAAATTGAAATAAAAGAAGAACTAAAAGCACAAAACACCATAGAGAAGAGATGATAAACAGAGTAGAACTCACCGTGGAATTATTACGAAAATATCGAGGAGAGTTGACACATGAGAGAGTTGTTAGATTGAACAGAATAGTCAAGGTTGTTGAAAGTATTCATCAGAGTCATCAAAACGAGGAAGTTATCATTCCAAGTAAAGAAGCTATTAGTGAGGTTCTTGATAACCCAAATGATGAAAACATGAAGACATTCATTGAATGCACATCAAAGAAAAAGTCAATGTTGGTGAGACAGACATTAAGAAAATCTATGAAGAACAAGAAAGTAGTGCAGTTGAGTTATTGAAAGACATCATGGATGTTTTAATGAATGAGAACATCAAGAAATATGTAAGCAATAAAGCAATTAAAAGAATTACACAAATGGCACAGAAGATTCGTAACAACATTGTGGAGTGTATCAATGAAAATATGAGAATGGAAGAAGAGAAGAATCAAGAAACAACAACACCACCAGAAATGACAAATATTCCAATCAGTGAAGGAAACAAAACAGAAGAGCAAGAGAGTCCTAAAGAAACAGAAGAAGAGAGAGTGAATAGGGAATTTGGAGAGAAGATGAGAAGTCTTGAAATTGAGTTAGACAAAATCAAAAGAAAATACATTGCATTCAAAAAGGTTTTTGAAGAACATGGGGAAGATGTAGAATATTTGATGAAACAAGAAAAGGCGGTGAAAGAATGTGAAAACATGATTAAGAATGGGATTGAAGTGAATGAGATGAATATGAAAGTGTTAATGGATTTGGATGGGTTTGTTGGATTAAATGAGGAGAATCGTAAGAAAAGAAAGGATTTAGTAATTAAAATACAGGAAGAATTGGATGAGA